AGAGCTAGTTCTGGTAGTCAAAATAATATTTTTGATGATTTCTTTGATAATCTGCAACAATTTGAGCAGGAACAAGGTGAATTTGAAATGTACTTTAACTTACCAACGGCATCAAGAACTGTTGACCCTTTTCTATGGTGGAATGAACGAAAAAATGAATTGCCTATTATGTCAAAGCTAGCAAGGAAATATCTTTGTATGAGTGAAACATCAGTTCCCTCAGAACATTTATTTTCTGATGTTGGAAATCATATAACACCCAGCAGAAATAGACTTTTGCCTGATCTTGTTTCCAAAATTATATTCTTAAAACGAAATTCACAAGAAATTAATGTACTCAATTAATTTAATGTTTAATATTTAATATTTGTATTTTTATTTTATTATTGTTATCAAATAAAATTTCTTTGTTACATGATATAATATGACGATATTCATGATATTCGTGATATTCATGATATTCGGATAATATTCATGATATTCGAATATCATGTCGATCATTCTATGATATTCGAATATCATGAATACAAACACTACCTAAGGAGATCCTAGTGTAAAATAGTAAATATGAATCACGGGAAACAAACATATAAATCGGAAATGATTTACAAGTGTTACGAAGTGAAAATTCGGAAATGATTATCACAGAATAACCCAACAAGAAATAAACCAGTACAATTTAATAAATGTTACACTAATTAATATGGCGCACCAATCAAATAAATAGCTCTGGGAAAATAACCCAAATATTGGAGATATAAATATTCTAACATTCTAAAGTGTAACGGACAACAAAATCTCAGAATAATATTTAAATGAAAGAATTTTACATGACTCATATTGACAAGAAATTACTTGAATATAATTCTAGATAGAAGGTTCAAATGATATTTAAAGAATCTATTAATTAGTATAAATTAGGATTTAAAGAAAGTCGGATAACTAGATGATAGAACCTTGAACATGTATAAATACGTTGTAAATTTCTCTTTCATGTAATCATTAGTTATTAGTTATTAGTAAATTCTTAACTATTATCTTGTAATAACATTAATATCATAATAATAAAAACACAAACATAATTAACTCTTAAAATAATCTATTGCCAGTGGAATTATCCACCCGCTTCCAAAACCACATAAACCTTTAACTCTAACTTAATTATTAATTAATAGCTATCTTACCAGGGGGACGCCTTTGATAAGTATAGTGTGTGTATTTTCTTTTAATTTTATTTTCTTTATTTTTATTTTAGATTAGGCCAACGCCTACATCCGGAGACCCTAGCTAGGAGCGGTCAGTTAAACACTGAACCCTTTATATAAATATAACACAACAGTATCAGGAAGGATACTGGGATTATTATCGGAAGAGATAATAATTGACACGTACCGGCTCAGGCAGCAAACATAGCAACTGCTGAGAAAACGTTACCGGAAGGGAAGTCAGAAACTTGCCCTCTCACGGAGTAATAGCTGAAGCGCTATTAGCTGCCAAGACACCAAAGAGTGTAATTAAATTAAATAACTCAAACGCTATAGCAAAGAAAGTAATCAAGAGATTACATTGCTGGATACTGCCACAAAACGAAATAGTAGTTTAACCAAATCCAAGAGATTTGTGTGAGATACGGATTTTGATCTCACAATATGAAGCTATCTATCTGTATAGTTTTCGGGATTTTGCCTACTCTTCTTTGATTAAATCAACTTCAACAATCTTATCAAATTGTGTTTGCAGATTATCAATACTGGTAGGTTCTGTTAAAATAGTACCGAGATGACTGAAAGAACTGCTGTCTTCATTTCTTTGTTGCTCATTAATTTCCTCTCTATCAACTATATTTGAGCCTGAAATCATTTCATTAAGCATCGTTTCAACATCTTGAATATCAGGCCTGCTCTTTGGGTCGTCCTGCCAACATGCTAGATACGAGTAAATGATTAACAAAAAATTTAATGCATATAAATATACAGTTTTTAAATAAATGTATAGATTTTTTACCTTTGTATAAATTAACATATTCATCAGGTGTATTAGGGATGGGTTCCTCACGAGTTCCATGGGAAATATCAATTGCTAAGGTAAATCCTTGAAGATGTGGATCAAGATTACTAAAAGGTGGTCGGCTACTAGTCAATTCCCATAATAAAACACCCACACTGTATACATCTGATTTTTTGTTTGGTTTATATACTTGTTTATTTAGATTATTGCTATGCTTGAAACATTGTGGGTCAATGTAAGCTATTATTCCTGCCAATTTGAATGTTGAAGTGGTTGCAGGTTCAAATATTTTACGAGAGAGTCCAAAATCTGCCAATTTTATGGTTTTTTGGTGAACCAAGAAATTGTTTGAATGCTTTTCAAAAAAGATAATTATTAAATATAATTTTTCTTTAAAAATAATAAATTCATGTAATATGCAATTATTTAATTACCAAATCTCGGTGGATAATATTGTTTTCATGTAGACATGAAACAGCTGATGCAATCTCATATGCGAATTGCAGTTTTAGATCCCAACTGATTGATCCAGGCTTTTCTTGTAGATAGCTTCTTAGTGTTCCACTATCTGCATACTCAAGGACCAATAAATATTTTTTATTTTCTTTATATATATATTAAATATAAATATTAGTTAATATTAATAGAAGAAAATCAAAATAGGAAACAATTTAAATATACCTTCATTCTTAGTAATGCCATAGAAACGAATAATATTTTGATGATAGTCAACTTTACGTAATAATTTCAACTAATTGAGTCAAATATTGTCAGTTGAAAATTTTTTTTAATCCACACCAAAAACATGTCATCATAATTTACCTCATTAATAACTTCTTTCATATTTGTTATACCATCTTTATGGGATTTCAAAGCAAAAGTTCTGCCATTTCTAAATATCGCTTTATAAACTTTTCCAGAACTACCTGAGCCAATTTTTTGAATATTTCTAAACTTACTATATTCATAAAAATTAATGTGTTCGTTCCGAATTGCCTCATCAAGCCATTCTAACAAACTCTCATTGACTATTCCATTTTTTGGCTCATTCTTTATAACTGGAGGAGGTGTTGGTGGTTTTGGTGATTGTGGCGAAGGGGTTGTCTCTTCATTCGTAATATCAGGTGGTTGATTATCTTGATCGTCATTATTACTTAATTTATATATGCATATGTTGTGTGCATGTGTATTAATAATTTAATTTTTCCGCAGGAAAACAATAAAATTTGATTTACCTAGTCCCAGGAAAATCCTCTTCATTATCACTATAAAATATATTTAAAAATAAATGAATAAATATTATTATTTGCGTAAATATCAAAGTGTTTTTAATAAATTTTTTATATACTTTTCGTTATTATGACGCAGTCTTTGTCTCAAATCATCATGTTTTTTTCTTTCATACTGTAAATGTTTGTCATTAACAATTTCCTCAGCTTTATGTCGAACTAAATAAAATTATAAAGATTAAAAACCGTTCATTCATTTGTTAATTTAAAATAAAATGATAATTTGCTTGTACCATAACGGCCATGATCTTTCCCATCATCATCAATGTATTGAAATTTTCTTAAAGGTTCTAAGTTTAACTTTTTTTTTGTGTATATAACGACCTCCTGTGATCCTATGTGAAGACAATAATCTAATAGAATAAGTGCCTATAACAAGAAAAGGAAAATGATTATTTAAGAAATATTTTTAGATTAGTTAATTAAAAAAATTCTAATAAATGCAACTTACCTTGAAAACATGCCTCCAATTTTTATCACGATATGTTAATCTTTCCTCAAGAATCTCCATAATTACTAAAAAGTTATCACTGATATGCAAATAATTAATAATTAGTAAGTATATATAGGAAAAAGAAAAAAAGAAAAAAGTTCTAAATGTTTATTCACTGAATAAATGTTGCTTCAGCAATTTCAGCCATTAATGTACAATTTGCACATCCTGGAGCATTCGAAGTTGCAGATCTAACTTTAGCTTGGAGGTCTGCAAGTGAATACGAGCATTTTCTATAAATTAACATAATTGTATCAAAAGTTGTTAAAAGCCATAATAACGATTGTAGTTGTTCTCATTATTATACAAACTTACATTCTACGAACTGCGTTTATTAGATAAGACATTTTTGTTTTTTTTTGGTTAGATTATTTAATTGCTTCGCTATTTACTATATGCAGTTACACTTGACGAAATCGTCAAATGAAATGAAAGTGATTGTCATATTTCCAAGTTTGTAGCCTAATTTATTTTTGACACATTTACACGTGCATAAAAAGGCAGATCTTTTTGCTAAAAAAAAATTTGCGCATAAATGATATTAATATTAATATTAATTTGATGAAAGAACAACCAATCTTAAATGTATGTTCGCTAAACTATAAATAATAATACCCTAGGTGGACGGACATCTTAACGCTAGCCAAAGTATCTTAATATTTGATTTTTTTGATTTTAGTCAAAAGTCCAAGTTTGCAAAATCCCTACTATTATATTTTTAAAAAAGTAATAAGAAAAAAATACCTTCATTCATTTTTATTTTTTAGAATTCGAAATGTTTAAGCGAAATTATTAATACTTTATATTTTTACTCGAATTTAATGACTGGTATTGAAGTTAAAGCTATCTTGTTGTGGATTTTGTTTCGCCTTTCCTTATTAGCATTTAGTTCACTTCTTAAAATTGTATATATTTCATATTTAGCGCATTTAAAAAGAAAAAATGTACAAGTAAATGTAGTAAATTTACGCTATATTTTTTAGAATCAAAGGCAGTTGGAATGTGTGGGTTCACTTTAAAATATTCCAAATACAATTTGAAAAAAATAAAATAAAATTATAGTACAAAATATTTATTAAAGCTATTCACATTTTTCAAAAAAGTTTTCATTGCAGCACAATTTCGTCTAAGTTTCTTGTATTTAAACCACACTGCCCAAATAAAATTACGTCATATCCGCCATGCCCCTTATAGTTGTTAATTGATTATCGCTTGGAGATATTCCAGTGTTAATTGATGATTATAGTTGTTAATTGATTAAAAATCAGGTGATTCCAAGTCCAAAATCCCCCAATTTTTAATAGACATTAATCAAAATTTACAGATAAGCTCAAAATTTCTTTGATGTACAATAGAGAATGCGTACCTTTTGTTTTACGCCCTCCAATGCTGGATAAATCATATTATATATTTTCGATTAAAAAGAGAAGAAATAAAATAAATTTCAAGACTATTTTATCCACGTACACCATCAAACAAAGGAATATCCACAAACTTTATGGTAAGTTCAGTTGGTTCAATAAATTCTTCTTTGGCTAAATTATACAATTGTGTTAATAGATTTCCCATGATAATATAGTGTCATTATATTGAAAATTAATGTTTTACAATGCGACAAATCTCCACTTCTCCAAAAACCAATTTAATCTTCGTTATTATCACGCTCCTATGTTAATTTGCTATTTAAATTTAAATTTATTGATTATTGGTTAACGAATAACATAATAATCACTCAAAAAATAATAGTAATACAGTGAACTTTCCCTAAATGCCTCAAGACATAGAAAAATCAATCATTACATGCATTTAGAGAGTGTGTGTGTGGACTGTATAGAGTGAAATGTATAGAGATCTTAGTAATTTGGGACTATATCAGGCTTGAATTTAGAGGAAGCAAAACATAGTAATTGCATTTGGGGAGAGTTCACTGTAGTTATTAACATCACGAAATGTCTGCAAATTTACTTCAACTCTAAGAAATAATTAAAATTGATATTTTTAATCAGACATCTATCATCTATTATGTAATAGTAATTATCAAAATCCTTTCTGCAAATTTTCTTCAAATAGTCAAATACTCCCGATCTTAGAAAGATAATCTTTAGTATTAGTGAACAAATACGGGACAAGCTATCTAAACAAAAGTTGACTTTAACCTTGATTGGATTGTGAGAAATCAAGCTTGATTTTGGATGTTAAAGAAAAATTAATTTTCTTGCTGATCTTTTAGCACTAATAGAAAAGAGACGCGTAATATGTTTTATAAAAAAATGAAACGGGTATCTTTATTCGTGAATATATATTATATGATTTGTTTAAGTAATTAATAAGTGACTAAATGATCCAATACACATAATAATATATAATAATCCGATCAATTCACGGAACCAAATCAAGCATCTTAATCTGAAAATAACTATTTGAAAATATAAAAGAAAATAAAAGAAAATAAACATAATTAAAAAATTATCCATCAGCGATTCTCTATTTTTCAAAATTTTAACCTTATCACCCATATTATTAATTAATTAATTAATAATAATAATTAAATTAGTAATTGATAAAATTCAATTAATAACAATTTAATTTGCCTCATTAAAATTATATTTCATAGTCTAATAAGTCTTTATTAGGCCGTTCAAACTTGAAGTTCTGTTTAACATCAACCCCTCATTTTTTTCAGAAATTTGAATTTAAACTAACGTTTTGATTGTCAAAGAGCTTCTAAAGAATTTTTACATGATTTTTATCAAGATAGATCATGTAAATTAATATTAAGAAAGATATATTTTTTTTCTAAAGATGATGTTAAACAGATTTCTAAATTTGAATGGCCTTAGTTAAATTTAACAAAGAAATGTCATTATTTAATATTCTACTTGTATGGTATGCTAATGGGTGTGATTTGTGAATTTGTTGCGAATTACTACTATTATTGTTCCTACTACTACCATTTTCATAAAGGCATACAGTTTTAAATTTATTATTAGCAAATTCCAAAAGCTTTCTAATAGTTGGTCTCTTGGTTGGATCCATATCCCAACATTTCTGCATCACTTGTACATAATCGTCAGGCATCCCCGGTAATATTGGTGGTCGTAAGCCTCCAAGTATATCTAACATCAAGTGATGATCGTGAGCTCTATTATCAAATGGTGGATAGCCTGCAAAAGTTTCCCACATTAATATTCCAATACTATAAATGTCAGATTCTTTTGTGTTCTTATTTCCTCTAAATAGCTCTGGTGCAATGTATGGTACAACTCCATAGATTTTATTTGATGATTTTTCATCAACTGGACCACATAATCCCAAATCTGTAATACGAACACCACCACCTTCATTTATTAATATATTACCACTGTGTAGATCACAATGGATTAAATCTACCTTGTGTATATAATATAATGCACTACACAAATAGATAAAAATAGTAATCCTATCTTTTAATGTCAAGTTTAAATGATTTTTTTGTAAATAATCTCTTAAATTTCCTTGTGGGTAATAATTCAGAATAATTGCAAAATTACCATTTTCTGGGAATTTAGTTATACCATAACAAGGATCAATTGGGCTGCTATCCAACGGTCTGTATATTTGAGTAGCATACAAGATTTGTTGTTCATCACTTGACAATCTCCTTTGATGGTTTGATGATGATGCAACAGTAGCAGCTATTGACTGAAAAGAATTATTTGTTATTGATGCAGTATTTGCATATCGCATTACAGCAGTTGGGGCAGATTCTGATAACATAGAAGCTGCTGTTTGTTGTATATTATTATTAAAGCCACCACCACTGCTCATAAGACCATTCATGCCATTATTGTGTTGATGATGTTGCTTTAAAGCCATCGATAATGAAATTCCTTTACCCACAATGCCCATACTTGGACCATCAAGACCCGTTTGAACTGTACTTTTACCAGTTTTATTAACAAAGGTTTTAATTGTTGACGTTGAGCCAATACGATTACGTTTTTTCATCATGGCAGTCTTTAGACTTGAACGCTTAACTACGCCTTGTAATTTTAAGAAAAGACCGCAGGCATTACATAATGGTTGACCTTCAGGATTGTGACGCCATAATGGTGTGGTTTGAGTATGACATATTGTACAAGTTGTAGGTGTTGAATTTTTTGATGGTGACAAGCTATTGTTACTACCATCTTTATTATCAATTGATGATGGCATCAATTTGAGCGACTTTGTCAATGTTGTAGAAGTTATTGGTGAAGTTGGCAAAATCAACGATGTAGGTGTAGTAGAATTTGATGTTTTTATTAAATTTGAATTAATTTTACAATAATCCAATGCCTGTGATTAATTATATTAATGAATAAACAAATAAATAAATCAATTAAATTTAGATCAGATCAATTACCTCATCATTAAAAAAAGATTTCTTGAATTATTCAATGATTTTAATACTACAGGCCGAGCTCCCAAATAAATAAATTCCTTTTTAATTTCATCATAATCATATATACTTCCTCTTGTCCACGTGGCAGTATAAATGGAACTGAATACACCTTCTGTTAACTTTTTTATATTTTCAAATTTGCTCATAAGGTATCCATTCTATAATTCCATTTGGAAGAGATGAATGCTGTTGACATTTTCGAATAAAACCATCAATAATCTCATTTTCAGATGTCCAAGTAGTGAAAAGACTCTGTAAGCGTAGACCAATGCATTTTTCACAAAATTTATTAGAGTATCTGGTTGTCTTACACTTGTCACATTCTCTTGGTTCTCCCCATTTATAAATTGCATTCTCTAATTCAATACCATAGATATACTTTTCCCTGCAATATTTTTTTTCATTTTCTAATAGTTCTTTGTTTTCATCAACGAATTGTAAAAAAACATTTTTTTTGATTTTCTCTGTTAGAGGTGGTTGAAAAAGCATTATCACTCATTACACCATAAATTTTCCGTACTAATTCATTTCTGTCTGACGTTAATAATCTTTCAAGTAATGCCATTCCTAAATTTATTAATATTAATATCTTGACTTTAAAAACTTTTTAAAATACACTATTTTTTTCAGTATAAATATGGGGGGCGCTCTAGGAAAACCAGGCTTCGAGTTTCGTGTTACGTGTAATTTTCATAACGAAAACATGTGAAAATTACACGTAACACGAAACTCGAAGCCTGGTTTTCCTAGAGCGCCCCCCATATATTAAGTGAAATAATTCTGTTGTTGTTTAAAAGGGCATCTTTTAAATGATGTGTATCAGCCAATCACAGCGTCAAACTCGAAAGTATAATGCCACGATTTTTAAAATCTAAAGGATGAAAATTGGCAATACGACATATTTCTAATAACGAATGAATTGAA